AATACTGTTTATAATTTTAATAAGCTTATTCACATTGTTTTGTCTAAATATTATGTAACTTCCAGAATTCTCTATCTTTTTGCATCTTGTCCGTTCTAGCCCTGAAGAAGACATGCAAAGTCGGGTCGAAACGTTGGCTTTTAATAAAATAGTTTTACCACTATTTAGCCTATTTATGACCGCCACCCCGGACCATCTCCTTCCTTTATAGATTTTTAGGAATAATAAACTATTGCTGGGTATTGAAACCTCACTAATCAGCAGTAATACTGATTCTACTTTATAGTGAGATTTAAGGATGCATGAAACCACTCTCTTCCTTTACTAGAAATAAAGGAATTAAGGACAAAATAAAGCATTAAGGCTCTTTCGTTCACAAGGCGATGTGGACTCCTTGGAAATACTGGAAGTGAGAAATACTCTAATTCGAAGCAATTAGCCTTCCAATACTCTCGAATGAGTCATGCGAATTGTTGAAGAATGGGGGAGCTGTAAAAATCTAGCATGTTACCTGAAACTAGTGAGTTTTGAGTAATATTCATTGTTGGCTATTTTTTTTTTTCTCTCTTTAACAATTTATTCGCACTTGTCTAGGTAATACAGAACTATTTTTATATAAACTAGTGCTTTTGAAATCTGTGCTTAGTGTTGGAACACCTAGAAAGAAAAAAAAACAATCTCTTGTTTCGGAAGGTAATCGTAGTTGATTCTTCAGATTTTAGTTTTTATCTCTTTTATAACTATTTACAGAAAGATATTACAATTATTTTATTTTTTCAACGTTTAATCAGGAGGTTTGTGACGATCAGATCGTCAGGATCTGAAATACCGTTTTAAATATTATTCATAGTTTCTAGTGAGTCGTCTATATCCATTTGAAAATATTCGTGATGACATATAAAAATTCATCTTCAATCCAAATATTTGGCAAGGACTATACGAAAATCTAATTTTTTAATTTCCACTATGTGGATTCTCAGAGGGCCCAATGCCCCATAAAACGCAACCAAAAGGAGTCAGCAAACAAAAAAATGTTTTCCTTTGGTGGTCACTCAATGAATTTGGACATCAATGTACCAATAGAAAAACTCGCTGGAGATCGGTTTTCTTTAATTCAATCCATCCTCCAGGACTTTGAACTACATAACCCACTTTCTTCCTGCCATGTTTAACCAAAATCGTTCTGCAGTTTAGAATAAGACCGTAAAGTCTAACCAGAGGTCAACAGATAAGGCATAACATCTTTCAACAGATCATTTATTTTTACTCTGAGGATCACAAAAGCAATGATTCTCGACAATCGTCCAAAAAATCTTTGAACTGGGAGGAGATACAATACAAAGTCGCGAAATGTGATTAATATAATACTTAGTATGTTATCAATACTTGGGTAATTAACAGCACATAAAGTTTTAATATTTACGAACAAACATAAAGTTCTTTTAAATTCAGTGTTTATCCGACAAATCGAGAGAAGCTGATAAAAATATCGTTATAGAGAATAATTGCTTATTACGGAAAGGTTGGAGGAAGATTAAACACTTTAACAATAGAATATTCTTGTAGGATTGAATGTCATGGAGCTCTTAAAAATGTTTTAAATTGATACTGATGGTAGAATTTTCGCACGGAAAATGAATCTATATTTATTCTATCATGCTCCTTCACTTATTAAACTCAGCAATAGGATGTCATAATGGAAAATACTGACCTGTACAAATGATGGATGGATTCATCAGGTTGATACTGGGATGAGGTTGAGGGACGGTCTGCAGGTGAATCGATTGGAGTGGGAGATAAACCCGGAAAGCGTTCCGCAGCTACCGAGATCTGAACATCTTCTGGAATCTCAATGCTCTTAAAATCAGAAAGCAATCTGCTCAGTTCCTGTTTTAATGGATTTAACTCTTCATCGAAACTCTTCAAGGCTTTGATAAGTGAAGGTGACTTCAATTGCCTATCGGACATAATGGCAACATCTTTGATTTCATTATCTTCTAAGTCTTTCGTATCGACCAACTTGGACCTTTTTTCGATACTGTTGATACTTGGATGTTTTTTTGGCTTTATTGAAATATCAGACACATCGTCATCTGTAGCATCTTCCTTTTCTGTTTGAATTGCGACCACGTTTCTCTCGGTCAGATCTGAAATTCCTTCCATCGTATGTTCAGTTCTGGCAGAAATATCTGTATCTATCTGACCCATAGTCGCTTCATGAGTAGTATTTTCATCCGCCGTTCTTTCATCTATATCCTTATTATCCTTAGTTTGTGTAGGCTCTCTTGTAGAAGAACTTAACGTACTAAAATCCCTGAGAGCATTGAAACGCCTTAGTATTGAATCGGAATCATCCGAAAAAGAAAAGTCTTCAGTAGCTCCAGGATGTATGTGAACTTCAGTTTGCACTTGTGTACTTTTGCAGTTCTCATTTACTGGCGGTTCATTACTCTTTTTAACCAATTCTTTTATTAATTTTTTCTTTATAGATTCCAGCCTCGGGTCACCTTCTAGTACACTTTTGAAAAATTTATTTTTTACGCATTTATAAATTTCTTTATCCTGACTTTTAACCATTTCCCGATCAACTTTAGTCTTCACAGTCCTTTCAAAATTTTCTCTGTGGACCCCTCCTAAGTTTGGTTTGTCATTATTCTCGATTGTTCTAACCCCTCTTTTATCGAGTGCCTTTAAATAAGCATAATCAGAAATGCATTGAACTATATTTCCCCCCGTATTATAAGATTGGAGCTTTTCTTCAACAAATCGATCAATATTTTGCTGCTCAATATTATCTACAACTAAACTCAGTAATCCTATTCTACCTCTAGAATTTTCGGAATCAAAACACATATGTTCTCCAACTTCATGTGTCATATCGACCTCTGCATCTTTCTTTCCAGAATCTTTCTCATCTGTAACTGATATATCTATGCCAGAAGGAAGGGTTTTATCGGAAGGATAAATTTCGGCATCTCCGGCTTTTAATCTAATGTTTCTTGCTGGACCTTCACCGATAGACAATTCAAGTCCATTCTGCTCCAAGTACTTAGAAGTTACTGATATTTTAGTTTTATGCATTCCATCCTCAAATATGATCTGAGGAGAACCATTCAGTTGTATGTTAATCGAATGAGGTGCATCCGAATGTGTCTCATCCAATTTATCATCTCTTACAGAATAAAATTCTTCATCTCCGCTCTCTATAACATCTGCGAATTGTTCAACAGGAAAAGAATTTCTTACATCATTCTCTATTGTCATTCTTCCCATTATTTGTTCATAATATTGAGCATCCCAGTCTGTCATATTACTGTCTGTCTGCAGACAGACATCACGTAGCTCTGTGGAGTCGCAAGTTTCATAACCAGAAAAAATATAACCCAAAAGATCGTTTCTGTGTTTTTCCTGATGCCTGGTAGATTTGTATGAAATAGGGCAGGAGGCCGTATATCTTTTATTCATGTTCACGTTCCTAGAAAATTTTTATAAATTTTATGTATATATATAAAACTTGACAATATGGTAATAGCAGAAAAATATACTTATTTCATCGATGCTTACCACGTTTGAAAACTAAATTTAACTCAAAATGATTTACCACACTTACTATAAGATTTTAGGAAACTGCAAATTTCAAACGAAATTTTATTTTTAAATAAAATATAAATATATATGGTAACATCTACGTATAGAGTAATATAACAAAATGTTGTGAAATAAAGGAATACGTATGGGATAAAGTTTTTTTTTTTAGAGAGAAGAGTGCTCAGGAAAGATATATTGCAGATGGGCGCAATCACTTAGTTATGTCGCTGATTAAAGGAGGAAACATTTCAGTGGAAAATCGTTTTTTCATATCTTTCTCTAAAAGGATGTAAAGGTGCGTTTAGACATTTCGCAAACTGAGAAACAAACACATATACAAATAGTTATTTCACTATACAAATATTTTTGTCTCTTGTTTTTGATACTTTTCATATTATATAGGTATCAAGTATAATCAAAATAAAATAAATAGTTTGGTTTAGAAATAATGTCGCTATTAGTTAAGTTAGATAATTGTTTTTCCCGTAGTTTGTGAAATATCTAATTACACCTTAAGATTTAATTCATTGGCCGCAGGGAAATCATCCACCTTCCCATAGATTATAGGATTATATTGCAAAGCCGATCCAACAACTCCAACAACGAAATTGAGATCATGACCAAAAGAATATAATCAAGACAAAAATCATTCTAAAAGGTGATATACATTGAATTATTAAACTGTAACACGACTTTTCAAGTTGTGAAAAGAAACAACGAAGGCTGTTTTATCTGATGCAACAGTTCACAGACATAAATATTCTCACAAAACCTTTTAATTTTGTGTGAAACTCTGATGAATCCCTGCAACTTTGCCCAAAACCTTGTCATTCATCAAGCAGTAATACTTTCTCCTTGGTCTTAATATTTTACTTCACAATTATTATAAAAGATTGACAAAAAGATCTTACTTACATTTAATAGGCTGCTATGTTTGGAATCCGATACAATCACCAATAAAAATTGATTCACGAAAACTCTTTACTAATTCTAGCACCATTGCTTCTAAGAAATGATAATTGCAAACAATTATTATTCCATATCAATACAAACTATCTGAAATGACTATAGTAAAAGATAATGAAAATTGAAGTTATCATTTTTAAAATTCGGCAGGTAAATATTAAAATCACGTTTATATTACACTTAAATAAATATTTTTTCTAAGAGTAAAAAATAATTATACATTCTTTAAAATGTCATTTCATAACCCTTTATAAAATTACATTATGTTAAAATATGTTTTTCAAAGAATCCAATTGAAATATCTGAGCAAAGTATGTTTTCAACTAAAATAATACACTTGCTACTTGTTTATAACTTCGCCTAGGAAGGTTTTACGATGGTTTCAGTTGTAAACAGAATATGAGGTTGCATTTAGCTTATTATTTTAAATAATTGATTTAGAAAATATGTTATCGATTAATAGCTCGTTTTATTATTACACAGTTCTCATAATTTTATTATCTGTATTTCATTTTTTAAATGTAGCATGTAAAACTGAAGAATCAGTTGTACCATCGAATATTGTTTCAATAAGTAAATTTATCAAAGAATTTCATGTAGGTATTAACTTTTTTTTTAAAATTTGATATATTTCTATTACATATGTGATATTGTATCATTAATACCTACAGAAAAAACTTGAAGATGGCTCATACCCTTCGATTAAATCAGAAGGAAATGAGAGGGAATTCCCTACACTGATTGAAAACATTTCGTTCTATGCAATAAAAGGTGAATTACCCGAAAGAAACTACTCTTCATTGGTTAAATGTACTCAAAAAACTATTGGAACTCTTTCAGTAGAAGTAAGTGGTCTAAAATGTGTAACGATACACACTTTAATATTGCCTCAACTTATCATATATGCTTTCTTTGTTTAGCTGGTTGATTCAGCAAGACTATCTGTGCTTCTATCGGCTGATCCAAATGTGACTTCTCGCTTAGTTGAGGGACCTTGCCTAGCACTTTTATTTTATTCACCAAACTGCCCATTTTCTTGTTTAGCTGCACCACATTTTAATGCGCTTCCTAGAGCATTTCCGATGATCAAAATGGCAGCAATCAATGCTATTCAACATCAAGCGTAAGTTTTTTAAAGATATATATTGTTTAAGTTTGAAGTGTCTGGTAAAAAAAGAAAAAAAAAAGGATTTTTAAATACTGTAGATAATATTTAGGATATTTCTGTTGCCTAAAAAGTTCTACTTGCTTGTATTAAAATTAGACAAGTCACAATTCATTTTAAAAGAAGCAACAAGCAAGTAAACAAAAGTTTTCACTGTGATATCAGCGATGAACCTAAATATTACAGTTCTGAGAGTAAGTTGCCTAAAGTTTTTTGTACTAATTATGGGATTAAGGGAAAATCCACTATTAAAAAAAAACTAAAATAAACAGAAAAAGAATTGACCAGACACCAAAATTTGCTCTAAACAGGTCAGAATGTAGATTAAAATTGTTATTGTTTTGTAGTACTACCAATTTTTCATTTGAAATAACTAATGTAGTCTAAAGTTAAATACCACCAATATTCTATGATCTGTGATAAAATGTTTTTACAATTTCATGAAATGTTTGTTATTTAAATAGTTTTAAGCATGAGCTGATTCGAACTCTGAAAATTATCTACTAGGAAAAAAAATAGCTTACATGAAAGATAAAATTTTTTTTTCTATCGTCCTATTTCCATAAAATATTCCATCAAATGTAAAATTCATAGATCAGTTGATGTTATTCTTTACTTTTGTAGTGTAGAGATCTTAAAGATAATGATGTTAAGTATCATAATTTAAGCATTAATAAAAATCACATAATTAAGGTATAAAAATCACAAATCGATATATGCGTGAGCCTAGGTTTTAGTATGTTGAAACTTTTTATTATTATTTATCTAAATATGCAATATTTAGTAAGGAAAGCATTACAATCATGAATATTATCGAATCTGAGTTTTCTACAAAAACACTCGTTTTGATGTTCCCTGAATCCAAACAACCAAGTCTCACAAAATGGTTTGTGTATGTGAACAGTCTATCTCAAAAACGAAAAGTCGTACGAAACTAAAATTACGTATTTAAGGTGTTACAGGTAATTTGTGCAAGGGATGGTACAGGAACTTTTTTCTGAAAATTGGCTAACCAGGAGTTCCACTTTGTATCATAGATTTTACAATTTGCTCAAAAACGGTTCTAACGATTATGATTAAATTCATTGTATCAGTGTAACATTAGGCAGTTTTTAATAAAATGTAAAATGTAGGCCTTTTTCTCATTGATGTTCTCAAACAGTGCTTAAATGCCTAATTTTTTTAATATCTTCCTCAAAAGTATCTTTAATTTTTTTTATTTAAAATAATTAACCATTTCACAACTATTAAAAACTGTTAAATATAAAATCATTTAATAATTAATTACAAAATAAATAAGGAATAATAATAGATAACTGAATAAATCCGAGCTTGGCCAAAAGATTAGAACAGGCTTTCATACTTCAGTAATATTTGTTTAATAAAATATGTGCTCCAATAATATTATATACATATAGATGTGCATTGGAATCATTTAATATTTAATTGTATTGATTACAGCATTATAAAAATTTAAATTTGTATATATATCAATGCTTAAACATATAAAAATACCTATAATAAAATATAGCCCTCTTTATCTGTGGCACTCTTTTCGGTTAAAAATATTTCATGGCACTTAATTATTTATCATAATCAAAAAGTATTTAAAATATAAAGTTGTAAAAGGAATCGTTTTGTGACAAAAAAAGAATAAATATGATATACGACTTTGAAAAAACATATAGATATTAATTGTTTTAAATTACATTTTGTACCGTTGGTTATTTTTACTCTCACTTCCCTTTGTCTTAAAATAACTATTTCTGTTTTTAAAAAAATAGGTTAATTCACACAAAAGTGAAAGTTGTGTGATGCACACAATGCACCAGATTTTTTGTATTAAACTCATAAATCTAAAAATATAGGTTATATATTCCTGCGTATAAAATACTAACAAACTTTCATTATGTTTATTAGAAAGATGTTTTATCAGTTATTCGATTTCCAAATATCTATTAATGTTATAATATTTACTGATTAATTTAACAATAGATATTCCACTTGTCCTTATTAAACAAATTCGTTGTCTAGGATTCCAATTGGACAAACGTCTTACTTGGTAATCCGCAAAACTAAAACGACAAGAAACTGCTAGACATTTCCGGCTGCTCCAACACCTACCAGACAAACGCTCTAAACTTCCAATTAATTATAAAAGACAATTTACATAGCTATAATAAGTCCTATATGGACATATGGAGTTGAGCTTTGGGTCGCCACCAAACCAGTGAATTCCTACCGTAATTTAATCCTTTCAATCCAAAATCCTCAATGCCTCACGTTTTGTCACAAATAAAACCATTTGTAAAAATCTAATTGTCACTCATTTAGTTCAGGCAAGATATATATCCTTTCATGATAAACTCCAGTCCCTTCCAAATCCACTTGTTCCCAGACTTGCTTCTTCCCCAATTTCTGATAATCCTCCTAAGCGTCTGGAAAGAAGATGGCCTCATGATCTTCTTACTTAGAACTATTTAGAGAGTGCTATTATTGGATAGTGTCTCCACAAGTCTGTTCATGTCATTAGTCTTGATTCGCTCATATTTACTAGTTGTATTTATTTAGTACAGTTGTAAATGTCTATAAATAAAAAATTAATAATTAAAAATAAATTATTTCAGATTTAATACACAATTTGGAATTGCTGGAGTACCAACTCTTATGCTTTTTCACAACGGCAAAGCGGCAGCAAAGTTTAATGACACTGATTATACTCTTGAAATGTTTGTGAAATTCATCACAAGGATCACTGGTAAGATATTTAATATATATATATATTATATTATATAAACACTTATTGGAAATAGAACCTTCACTTATTAAATATGTTTTTAAGTCACTGTTACTAAAGACCTGAATAACTACTACTGAAATTCAATTTGGGTACTGTTTCTATTAGTTCATTGCAAAGATACTTTCAGAAACCATTTTTCTAGTTTTTCTGAAAACACATGATGACATTTTTATTAAAACAGAATATATCTGTTCATATAATACAGTAGTTTTTTGCAGTGTAGCTCCCTTTTTCAGCTCTCAGGAGTGATGGATTTTAATAAATGAGGTATGAACAATGGAGAAGTGATGAATCATTGGAACATCTCACAAAATTTCAGGAAAAAGTTATGAAAGAAAAGGAATTTTATTTGTGAATAACTTAAAAAGTATACACTTTTTTGTCAATTGTACTCATGATTGTTTGAAAGATTAGTAAATTCCCTACCAAAAAATAAAAAAATAAAATAAAAAATCATTGAAATTGGACCATTATTAACAAACATACAGCCTGTATTAATGTAAACTTTCGGGCTGAAGCTCACCCCCAAATGATAAAATGTAACCATGTTTTATGAAAAAATTATCTCTAAAAGTATTATTGTTCGTCTAATTAAATTTAATAGGACTTAAAGAATCACTTTCATGTAGGTAGTTAGTTTCTTTCTTCTGAAGTAATTATCCTAATATATACATACAAAAAAAATCTTTCGGGCTGAAGCCCTCCCCCAAAAAATAAATCCTGGATCCGTTAGTGACTCTCACCAACATTTTTTACAAATTATGTCATTTATTCTTCTTTAAAAAAGAAAAGAAAGTATACTTTCTCATTTGAATGAATGATAGAGTTGAAATAAGTAAAATTAATTCAATAAATTGATATGACAAAATGTTAAGAAATTTTATTTTAGCAAAGACTTTTCCACTATTATGGTAATCCTTAACCTAAATATCATTTAAGATATACTTCTATCCTTCTCTATCTAAGACTTCTGTGATGCCATGCTCTTCCAGGCTTTCTTCCACTGCGTCTTAACACTTTACCGTAAGTCTTCTTTTTTATCCTTCTCCCATATACTGAAATATAGGCTTGTATATTAGCCTCTTTGGGCTTTATATTCAGATTCCAAAGGATACTGTTTAGTATTGCCATGTCTTTTCTTCCTTCACCGATTCTCCTGTCAATATCATTGATGGAAATGCCTTCTCTATTAAATATTGATCCTAGATATTTAAATTTATCTGCTGTTTTTATATCTCTTTCAATTGGTGTGTCATCAGATGAAGTGCCAAGGTGCACTGTTTTCTTAAAGTTACTATTTAGTTCTTCCTAGAAATTTTATGATTTTTTAATAATGATTCTTATATTTTCAGGTATGAAACCAGAAGAAAAAATGTTCGTGAGGTCATCCGATCTAGGAGGGCCTGTTCCTACAATCTTAGTCAAGGAAACTGATTATGTTCTGGGTCTTGCTTGGGCTGTAATTATTCTTGCTTTAGCTTACGGAATTACTCGTCTTCAACGCTGGCACGCTTTCATTGAATCTGTTGCTGCAGTATGGCGTGAATCAAATCATGAACACACAGACTGAAAATTCAATGCATGCCAATGTGCCCATAATAATTCATAATTATTTGCAATATACTTAATTTTTCCTCTCTACAGAAAAGTTATAAACTTTCATTTTTTTTTTTAATAATGATTACTCATTATTTAATAGTTTATTTCAGAATCGTTTTGACTCTCAGAAAATGATAAATTATTGTTATGTTTGATGTACATTATGTAGATAAATTTTGTATTTATTTTAAAAATGTATGATTACTTACTATTATTTCTAACACAATTTGAAGTGTATTTAACTAATTCAACAAAAACTTCAAATGTAAATGATTAATCATTAAATATGTAAATAAAAATATATATGTTTCTCCTATAGTATTTATATTTAAAAAATAAATAAAGAATCTCAACCCCCTCTCAAAATAATTTAAGATATACTGGAAAACATCATGTTCACGGTTGGCTTATAGTTGTTTATGATAATCAGGTATGGTAATCCATATCTTTATATAATTATCTTAATTCCATTTTAATTTAAGCTACCTCTTCGGTATATATTTATTAAAGTAATTTGTAGATGTGATAATTTGGCTATACTGTGATACTTTCACTTTGGATGTGATTTTATCAATGTCCCTAAGCGCTGCGAACTAATAGATCCTATTTTTATTAACAGGTTTGCAAAGGCATCTGCCCTGTTTTAATTGAGTCTAGGACGACGCACAATAGGCCTTGAGGCCGCGGTGCATTCTTATGTCGGGAAAAAAAAAAGTAATGTATTCTTATCATCCTGATGATATTTAGTTCACACTAAAAATTTAATTTTTCAGGATATATGATCCCTTTATTGAAGAAAGTAATTAAGTAAATTTTTAATGGCGCTAAAATTTTGAATACATTTTCATGAATTTTGACCTTACATATTAAAACAAAAACATGTAAATTGCATCAGAATGACCGAAATAATTAATAATTGTTTATATACTTTTAATTGTTTAAGACCAGATGGATAGATAAAACCAACAAAGATGCAATAATGCTTCATGCAGGTAACGGGAAAGAAATAATCCAAGATAGGCAAAGATGGAATAGGCTTGTTAAAGAATCAAAGGTCTGTAATGCCTACAGGAAAAAAAAAATGCTTTTATATTTAAAATAAATTCACAATAAGTGATCAATGTTCTGATTTGATAGAAAGAAAATTCGTCACCGTTCTTAGTGATTTAATTTCATTAAATGTTACTCAATGACTTTTTGCAATTAACCAAGAATATAATCTATTACTTAGCAATAATACTTCTTAAAGGAAGCTGCAATTTTTTAAACAAATGTTTGACAATCAAACATTTCTCATAAATTCTAATTTTTAATACTGAAGTTAGACTATGTTTACAGTTAATTTTATTATTACAACCAGTGTCTAGAAGAAAAGAGCCTTAAAAAAACTGAGTAATATCTATAAATATAAGAATATTTAGTTAGCTCAGTGACAACTAATTATAAAAAAAAAATTGTATTACCACAAATTTAGCATTTGCAGACAATGTTCTCATAACAGCACGAATTAACTGTACCAGCACTTTCAGGCGCTCTTGAAGAATTCTTCAGGGAAGCTGGAGAACAAGGTCTAGAAATTAGTACCGACAAAAGCATGGACATGCAGACTTCAAGAACAGACCATAGGAGGAATAGGGAATTGAAGATTAAGTTAAGTGACGAATTTAAGTACCTTAGTAGCACAATCAACTGCAAGAACCAAGTAGAAAAAGATATTAAAGTCCGTATAACTGTAGGAAATCGATGTTTGTACAGTGTACAGAAGCTGCTGTATTGCAAAAATATGTCTAGAAAGACAAAAACTGTAATATTTAAAACAATTCTGAGGCCTGTTGTGACATGTGGAAGCGTGACATGGTCCATGACTAAAGGAAGTAAAAGGATGCTTGGGAAGGGAAAGTAGTCCAAAACATTTATGGGCCAATCAAAGCGGAGTCTCAATGGAGAATTAGGTCTAACCTAGAGCTGAAAGGGCTATATGTTGAACATGACATTTAAAGAATCATTCAACTGAACAGATTGGGATGGCTGGGACACGTAGAAAAAATGGACACTACAAGAATGTCAAGAAAACTTCTATATGGAAAGCTGGGTGATGGAAGATGTCATGAAAAAAAAAGGCTCAAATGGTTGGACGAAGTGGAAGATAACCTGAAGGAGATGGTTAGAAAGCGGTGAAGGCGCTTCACTGCTGGCAGGGATATGTGGAAGATGACGTCACTAGAGGTCATGGCTCTTCAAGGACTGTTGAGCCCAGCAATATCCACAAATATCATTTAAGAATATGGCTCCATAAAAACAGAATGTTTATCTACCAGATCTAGATTACCTGGAAATTTTCATAACCTGGAATACTTAAGAAGTCAGGGAATTTATTAAGCTAGAGGAGGTGATGAGCCTGAGTTTGCTGTAGTGATTGAGAATCTTTATTGATCTTAATAAGTTTATCTTATTAAGTTTAAGCTTAGAGAGCGGGGTGGCCAAGCCGACTAATTTGTGTGCGCGAAAAACACGTTGCCCCGCAACCAGATAATTGATAAGCCATAGTTTATAAGATTAAGAGTTCTAAAGATATAATTAAGAGTTCTTGTCCCGGTACCAGGGAAGCTTTTAACTCTGGCATTAATCCCCGCCTTCCTCCCTAGTCTGGGAAAATTCCCAAATAGCATAAAAGGTGAGATAGGGATGGACAAAAAATAAGTTTATGTAATAGTGATATATACAGAAGTATACATACTAGTACACATAGTGTGAACTAGTCCAGCAAGTTTTCCTTTTTTTTTTTCAATCTCTGATGTCTAATTAAAGGTTGTCATAATGGTAGATTTCGATTCATGTTGGTACCTCTGAGAAATAAATGTTAATCAACTCAGGTAGGATTCGATTAACTATCAAAATCACTGTTGTTTGAAATATAAATTATAGAATTATAATGCCAATATTACAGAGAGAAAACATAACTTAAAGTCTAATTTCTCCTTTATTCTTTTAATTTGTGACACTTCATTTCCTTAACATAGAAATTAAGAAAATTTCATTTATTTGTTTATATTAGATTTGTAAATAAAATTTATATAAAAATGAAAAATAATACTTATTACAATATAATACTAATTAAGGCTTGAGGGCTACTGGAAAAGTCGGCTGTTCATTCATTTATGATATAAAAAAATAACCCTGACTCAAATCTTTACCTTATGAATTAAATATGTTCATTTTTAATCAGTCAAGTAGTTGCTTTATTATTCCTATTGTTTTTGTTTTTTTAAATTAATAAAAGATTTTTTATTTTAAATTTATCTTAATACTTTCTTTTCTTTATTTAAAGAAATTTTCCATGTTTGTTCTATTTGTGACATCTTTATATACAATGTTTTTTTGTTTTTTTTAGCATTATCCTTAATTATTCTTTCTTTATTATGTTTTAATTTTGGAAACAATTTTTTATAAATTTAATTTGTTTTGGATTTAATATTAATTAAATATACCAATTAAGTTTACATTTAAAATACTTTCATAATTAGGCTATTCTAAGATTTTTACTGCATATAAATCTAATCTCCGTCATAGTAATATGATACTGTTATTATAAATATGTAATACATAGAAGCAGCATCACAGAATAAGTTTGTTTTGTATTATAAATATATATAATTTTTATTTATTTATTACTTTATTTTTTTTTTGGAAATATAAAAATAAAGTTATGATAAAATAAAATAAATATAGTATTAATGGATAAATTTATTCCAAATCAGATGGTTGATTTGTTTTAATTAGTTATCTTATTTGTGTAGAAATTATACAACTGGGAAAACAATGGCCTCTCATAATCAGGCTGTAGTGGTACACAACGGTTTTATAAATAGATCCAAGATATTTTTGAACTCTAGCCTATCATAGTGCACGATGGGCAAGTGTTATGTCTGTTCTAAACCTGCAACACAAACATGCACTGGCTGCAAAGAAGCTGTTTACTGCAGCAAAGAACATCAGATCGCTCATTGGAAACAGCACAAAGTTAAATGTAGACCATATGAGGTGATATTTTGATATATTATATATTGATATATTTAATATCATAAATATTTTTTGAAGCGGTATCTTATGTAAAAAATAAATAAATTTAAATTGAATATTTTATAAAATGAGGAAATTTTATGAATTTAATTAGAACGAATTATTTTTACCACATTCATTTAGATTCAAAAATGTCCTGAATTAGGACGTTTCTTGATTGCGACACGTGATATACCACAAGGAACTAAATTGATTTCTGAACATTGCTTAGTTCTCGGGCCTAAGACATCTACTGAACCTTTATGTCTGGGATGTTATCAACCTCTAGATCCCGAAACTAGTTCAAGGTGAGTGATATCAACTTTCATAATAAATATTTATTTATTTTAGAAGAATATTCAATATTTTAATCCTTATATAGAATAAGTTGTAAAATTTAAGAAAAAATATACTAAACTGATACAGTATGATTTATCTTCTCAAATTTGTAGATAAAAAAAAATATTCTTTTGAAAATTGGATTATTTAAATTAATTTAATTAAAAATAACTATATTAATTAATGGATTAAATTTTAATTAAATAATATAATTTTGCTTATATTTATTTGGATAATAAAATATTGCCTGTTTTTATATTTTTTTAAATAGAAAAGAACAATTTCAGAATCAGAAAGTATAACTTGATTGACAAAACACAGTATATGTCAGAAGGTGACCTATATTTTGTTTCAGTTAACTGATAGCATAATTTTAAGTAAAAATAAGTTTTAAAATAATTTAAAACCAGGTATAAACTTTGAAGAGCACACTAAAATAAAATTACATAAATGAGAGGTGGCTCTCTGTATACTACACAAACAATCTAGAACGATTTAAGAGATATGGCTGAACTATCAAATATGGTATCAATATAAAGTTATAACTCTAAACTTAATTATAATTACTTGTTCAAAGGAAATCTGCACCAAAATTTATGTTAAACTTCCAATGAAGAATCAATAATCAAGACTTAACAAGAATAATTGTAAAGAACAAAATTTTACTGTCAAGTAATCAATGATTGAAAATTATTATGAAATAAATTATTCAATGTTCAATATTATTCCTGATCAAAAATAATATTTTTTATTATAATTTCAATCAAATACGATTTAATTAAATTAAAACATTTTCATAATTCAGAAAATATTTAGTAGAGCTATGTTTACAGAGAAATTATTTATTTCAAATTAAAAAAAAAAAAATGCCTAAAATAATAATAACTACTAGTAATTTATTTTTTATTCCGATGATAATAATACAGAAATAATGTTTATTTCTGAAAAATGAAATTAAGTTGAACCCATTTCTGAAAACTCTTCTTCCGAACAATGGTCTGCAAACTAAGGACCGAAAATTTCTTTGATTAAATTGTAAAATTTAAAAACATGAAATTTAATAAATCACTCAAATTCATGATTAATACAGCTTTTATTGCCTGAGTTATTTCTCTTAGAAATCTCATTTCACTCCTGAACTGTCATTCATAGAACATATTAATTTTTTTTTTAGTGGACATCTCTAAGTGGCCCGAATACCAACAAGTTGCTATAGAATAATAATAGTAAATTTAAACTATAATTTGTCTTAAAAGTAGCTAGTACATCTTTATCTGAAGAAGTATGTTAAAGAAAATATACCATAGTATACTTTACAACATTTGCCACATAAAATAAAGTAACAACTTTTCGTCAGATGTTTCTTAGTATGAAATTGTGAATCATAGTAATTTTTATACAATTATATATTAAGAAAACTATAATACAAGAAAAAACTAGAAAGTGGTGTTTAGTTAAATATTTTAAAGGATTTATATAGTTATCTTGAAAATATTACTTTGTTACATTAATTTTAGATTTCATTAAATATAATTCATTTTTTTATATTCTAAAAAAATTTCAGATGCCCATCATGTGAATGGCCAGCATGTGACGCGAGATGTCCTGGGTTAACGATGCAAGACCATCACTTACCAGAATGCATCGTTTTCAGCCGGAACCCGCTGCCAGCTAGAATCGGAAGAATGAAGTACGAACTTCCATACACTGACATTATAATTAATTGAAGCATTTGTCTGAAGTTAAAACAATGGAGAAAATTATTATGTTTGTTACTTAGTACTAAAAGAATCTAAATATAAAAATGTTTGTTGATTATAACTATTAAAATATATAATGATGAAAATAAGTTTGTAAAAATATCATCAAGAACTTTTGCTATTTTAAATAACTTTGAAAAATGAACTCAAGTATTTAAAATTTACATAATCCTCTGGTCAAAAGAAATCACAGATTTTAATTTTTTTTTTTCTTAATCACCATTTTAAAAAATCTTTAAAAAAGGTTATCTCCTTTATAAAATATCTGCTATAGATAAATAAGCTGTAATTATTTTTATTCAAAATATTTTTTTTCTTAGTTATGATGCAGTACTCCCCCTGAGGTGCTTATTGATGCAGAAGAAGAATCCGAAAAAATGGAAACAACTTCTTTCATTAGAATCTCATTTCAGTCAAAGAGATAATACCAATATACAAAGAGATAATAAGACACATACCAGTAAGAATGTATTTTCAAATTATTATAAAATTTAATGTGTTTTTTATTTATCTGTTTTTTAAAAGTGTATATTTATATTGATTTATCACTGTACATAGTTTTAAGTGTCTTGTCATAGGTTTAAGTGTTTTGTGTATAGTTTACTTGTTTTGTATATAGCATGTTTACCTAATATTTTCTTTACTTTTTCTTTTTCTTTTTTTCCTTTTTTTTTAATTAGGCCGGATGTAATCTTTTTAATTTTGTTCTAATTTATTATTCTCAAAGAACTTTGTCCCAGAATAAACTTATTTTCTATCTATCTATATAATATATATATATATATATATATATATATATATATATATATATATATTATTTTTTTAAAAACTTAAATTGATATTGAATTTGCATAATAAATTGCATAATATTTAACTATGTATTTACATGAACTTACAAAAAGTGAGCACTAAGACAATATTTTATTATTTTAAAAATATTTGAAGAATAAATTATAAGCCCATCTAGGCCAACCACATTTGATATTACATTTTATGTTTGTTACTTCACACAGTTCATATTCTCGGTTTATTAAAAAAATTCAAAGTACATTTTGGATGGAGCATAACTTTTATGACATTTTTTATGAATTTCAACCCTTTTTATCAATTATATTATAGTGCTATAAAATGATACAAAACCTTTTATACATAAAATATAGTTATAAGAAAATTTTCATAATTTTCTGATTTCACAAACAGAAAATCATGGGAACTCGATCTGCTTCATTAAACAATTTTCTCCGTTGCTTTTCTACAACACTGCTCTTTATGGATTCCAGTAGTATAGCCTCACTTGCCTTATTTATTTCTGTTTTGGTTCTATGATATGATATTCCATTTTCTGGCTGGTTAAATGGAGCCTTTCTTGGTGAATTTATCAGCCATTTTGTTGCCAAGGAGACCAAAGTGACTTAGTATCCTGTTACATAGAATAGGAGTTGCAGACTCTCCACATTGCAACCTATGTAATTCGGGAACACATGGACGAAACGCATTTAGGTATATGCTCAAGCTTGTTGAACATAAGATATACTGCATCATCCAAATTGGAATGGTACTGGGCTGCAAGATCTTGATGGCGGAAGCCATCTAAATATCAAATAATTTAAAAAAAATAAATCAATGATATTTTTTTCGGTTTTTAACACCTCATCCACCATTTTCCTTACAAAGTCCTTGGGAACATGCTACAAAATCTTTCTTTTGAAGGTAAATTATTCTTGTTTTGAAATTGTCTAGGTCCATGTGACATCATATTTTTTATTGTCATATTTTTAATTGTGTCTGTTTTCATTTTATAAAACTATACAAATTTCTGAAATCTTAATTTCTATATTATTGGTTATAAATTTTAGAGAAATTGAAGAAAAGATTGCAAAGTATCTCAAAGAAAACTATTTATCATACCTAGAACCTGGAATTATAACCAATACTTCATCAGAAGTAATACATGTGCTTTGTGGTATTATTGAAGTCAATGCACTCGAAATTCCTACAGGTATATTTTTAAATTTTGATTTTATAAGAGGAATTTATTTATTTTTATATTTATTTATTTTTGGTGCTATGGTCCTGTAAGAACCTGGAACCTGGGCCTCTCTTATGATCCTTCGCCATTCTCCTCTATCCCAAGCGAGCATTCTCCATCTCCCTATTATCCATAAGAGGAATTAAAATGCATAATTCTCAACTGTTTTAATTAATTAATTATTTCTTTACTTTTAGGAGATGGAGAGGTAATGGCAATTTATCCAAACGCATGTCTGATGGAACATAGTTGTTTACCTAATGTTAAGTATACATTTAACCTAGAAGACTTCAAAATATATGTCGAATCCTGCGGTGATATCAAAAGGTATATATTTTATTTTATTTTTTTCTTATCATCGATGATTTGTTGTGTCTATCTAGTTAGTCAGCAGTGCTAAAGTTAGTGTCCAAAAAAGTGGATGAGTCATATTTTACAAAGTATCAAAAAATTTTAATCCCCACATGTTATAAAATTTTTCAGTTTTTAGTTCTAAGATCTTGTGAAGCCATAACGAAAAATTTTAGATGACATTAGTTAATAATGATTAGAATAAAAATAGCAAAAAAAACTAATAAATTATTTAACAATTAAAATATTTAATACACATTATCTTGTTTTTATTATTTTAATTGAGTTATGGGGTAACTTATAGTTTATTGCCTCCCAAGAATACCATAAAGTGTGGAACTATACTCTTTTATCAGTTCTTTTCATTTTATTTGATCTAAATTAGTTAGTCATTAATCTTAGTTTCTATTTTCAGGGGAGTACATCTATGTACGATGTACACTCATACACTATGGGGTACTGCGGCTAGGCAGGATCACTTAAAAAGAACAAAATATTTCACTTGCAAATGCAAACGATGTACAGATCCAACTGAACTTGGAACTAATTTCAGTACACTCAGATGCATTGGCTCGTCGCCGTTAGATGTTGTAAGTATAATTATTTTTCTATAATTATATCAAACATATATGAATTATATTTTTTTTATTTTCATAGACCGAGAAATGTGATGGATTGGTTATTGCTAAAAGTGGAGATGAAAATTCTGACTGGTCATGCACTAAATGCCCTCTAATACTATCCGCAAGTCATGTGTCAGATTTAGTGTCAAGGCTCGGGGCCGAAGTGGATGCTGTGATGGAGGTATACATTTGCATACGTAAAAAAATTAAATGAATTAAAGTTATGAAAATTTTAAAACTCTGTTACTATTAAAAATACAGAACAACTTTTATGACAATCTTATATTGCTCACAAGTAAAGAAAGACATTTTAATGACATCAAATTTAGTTTATTGTGTTATTGTAGGAATACTTAAACAAAGTATTAATCTCTCAAACTACCTAGTCCTGTCATAACAGAAAAATTATTTTTTTCAAAAACTATTAGAAAATAAAATGTATATCTATAGGGAGTAAAACAAAAAATAAATTACTCAAAATGTTCTCCTTTTGCCTTGACAAAAGCATTTAATCTCCATGGCCAGTCATCAATAGCAGCACGCAGCACTTCTTGAGGAAAGTGCCCTACTGCTCGGACCAGAGATTGTTTGAGGCTTTACAAGTTATGATGTGCTCTGTGGCATGCCGTCCTCTCCAGATCGGACGAAAGCCGATAATCTAGTGAATTGAGATCAGGGCTTCCTGAGGGCCAATCCGAGGCAGAGATATACGCTGAAATGTTCTTTTGCAGTCACTGCTGAGTTGACCTGACTTTGTGAGCTGGAGCGGAATCCTGCTGGAAAACTCAATGACTTCCAGCAAACAGAGTATCAATCAGAGGCTTTATAACAGGTTCAAAAATATCGTCCTGATATTTTTTTCCACCAAACCATCACTGGGGAAGGATGATGACCTCTTTCCACTCTTCCAATGACTTCCTGGGCTTCTTTAGAGCTGTGTGCATACACATGATCATTTTGGCGATTAAATTTTTCTTCAATTATAAGCATTTCCTCATAACTAAACAAAATCTTTCAAAGAAGACCATTGGTGAATGGCCAAGGATCACTTTGCATCTATCCACTCTAATTTTTTTTAGGGAAGTGATAAGGCTTTGTCCTGCCATTCTTCGAAATGCAGCCATCTTAAGGTCACTTTTTATAATGCCAGACATTGATTTCCATTTCCGGATACATGATTTGTTGTTTTTGAATGAGATTTCTTCTGATTTGAGCAGCCACTGATCTAACTGCATTTGCCGTTCTCACCACAGGAGGATTTATGGGGGGGGGGGGGCGCTTTTGGGCTGAAGACCCCCCAAAATGGTAAAATGTAACCATGTTTTATGGTAAAAAATATTAAAAAATTATGCCTTAAAGTATCATTGCTCGTTTAATTACATTTAATAGGACTTCCAGAATCACTTAAACACCATTTCATATAGGTAGTTAGTATCTTTCTGTTTTTCCAAAATAATTATCGTTATATATATGAAAAAAAAAAGCTTCCGGGCTGAAGCCCCCCCCAAAATTAAATCCTGGATCCGCTAGTGGTTCTCACAGTGTGGGGACGGCCAGTTCAAGGTCTGTCACATACAGATAGGGTCTCATTATATCTATTTATAGTGGGGTACACGAACATACTACTGTTACCCAAAGGTTTCAAAGTGTTGAAAATCTCTAACTTACATTTTCCAACTTTGTGTAACGCGATCTTAGCTATTTGGTTTTATTTATCATCCCACTCCTTGTTAACTGAGAGAAAGAAAAATACAAACTAATTAGGATTATTATCTTGACATGCAAAGAAAATAGCCTGATAGAGGTAAGTATTTATCTACATAATACCCAAGGATGTAAACAAAGTTCAACTTTTGTAACAGTATTTATGGCAGAACTAGGTATATGTAATAACTTGAAATTACTGTAGATAAATTGATGAACCAAATAGAAACAGTAAATGATTTGCAAACAATTCAACATTTACTTAACGTAAAAGTCATTCAAAATAACACAAATATTACATTTAAAATTTTTTTTTTTTTCATTTTTGAACAGGAACCTTCAGTTGGGAAGCTGGAGAAACTTATATCTAATCTACAAAAATTACTTCATCCAAATCATTACCACTGCTTCACAGTAGAACATTCTCTAATCCAACTTTGGGGCCGAGAAGAAGGCTATATACACAATCAGATGACAGATTCTCTTCTTAATAAAAAAATAGGTAAATATTTTTATAATTAACTAGTTGGCCCGTGCGAATACTTTGCAGTAAATTTTGTTTAGTGAAGAAATAGCAAAACAATATGGAAATAAGTAGTTGCTATGTATTATGTAACAAAGGAATTAATATTTTTTCCTTGGTCGATTACAATATTCCATCAAACATAATAGACCAAAATATTTGTACAAATTGCTCTGCAAGGACCTATTTTTAAACGCTGGTTGGAAAGATAATAAAAGTAATATAAAGTAGTAATAAAAGTAGAATTGACGAAGTTATGGTGTACCGTCAAAAAAACACCTTTTAGAAATAATATGTAGGATCATAGACATAGGCAATGTGACAAGATAGAACCTTGCTAATTTTCCTAGTCGAAACATAGGCATCGCCTGTTAGGCAGCAGAATCATTTAATTTGGAGTGTACAAAAGAAAAATTAACTCTGTATTTGATTAAACTCATGTATTAGGTAAAAAATAAAATATAAAAAGAAAGTTAGTCTGTAGTTCTTTTGGTTCATTTGCTGAAAATGAGCAAAATGTATTATTATATATCTTGAAGTTAAATTAAATTAGAACAATTAATTATAATTTTAAATGAAAATCTCTTTAGATGCACTATTATTTAAATGTTCAATTTTTAATGGCATTCACATAGTAAAGGTTTTCTTTTTTGTTTTATCAGACTTATTGTTTTATAAATTTTATTAAAAATCCAGGAGGACATTGAAAAGAGATGCATAATTCCCTTTTTCTTGTTCATAAATCAGGATTTGTTGTAAAGTCCGCTTTATATCTTTTATTTACTGACATTTTAATCTAAATAATTCAGTTCTGATGATATTGAAACTCATCAACTCTTTTGAAAAAAAATATTTATTTTTCTTTTTACTGCAGGTCAATCCGTAGATTCTTTCAAGCTGGGCTCAACTATAACACTTTTTCCAATCTTTATTGTATTAATTAATGAATTTCCCAAATTGTTTTTACTTCATTCAATTATATTCAATATAATAATAATCAAAAGCAGTTATGCTTTATGAAAGATAAGTCCCTGGTACATCATACAGTATTTTTATCGACTAAATACATTTGTGGAGCATATAACCAGTGAGTTTTCTAAACTTTTTGTTGGACAGAGACATAATGTATACAATCATTGAATTCGTAACTGTTTGTTATAATCAAGAATAATTGAACTGTTATGTAACGTATGCTCTGTTATCCACATGTTTTAAAATATTTTCCATATTCACTACATTGTAATAATTATAATTGTTTTGTTTACATTAAAATCTTCATTAATTACTGCTCTGCACTTAATTATTAATACACAATACCTTTTATTATTGTGTATAATTTCTTGCATACAAATAATTACTCTAATTTGCAGAAACATGCAGAAGATTGGAGACAATCACAGAATCATTAGACCCCAAAGGGATTAGAACTGGTCTTTATACAGGAGTTTGCCTACTCGAAGAAAGTTTGGCATTGTCAGAAGTAGCTAAAAGGTGCAAAGATTCAGTAACAGTTGAGAAAACTGTGAGGGATGCCAGGAATGCTTTGGAAAAAGCGAGGGACGTATTAGATGACACAGGGCCCGGATCAAAACTGACATCTGTTATTAATATGACCTACAGTAACGTTATGAATGAACTCAAAAAATTCAAAATTGTTGAATTAACATAATTTAATGAATCAAGTACACAAAATATATTTGTGTTCATTTTCTTAAAGTTTAATTTCATATTTATTTCAATAAAATATTTTAAAAAACATATTTATTATAAAAATATCCTATTGTTTAAATTATATCAGCAAAAGAAAACAAAAAAGTACATCCTTTTTAAGAAAATATATATCTAAATTGACATTTGTTTTGTATTTATTTAAAGCTGCCTATATCCATCTACTGATTACTAAACTTTCTTAATCAGCCTACCAGTTAGGGTACACTCAGAACAAAAATGTCATCAGACTGCTCGAAAAACAAGATCAGAACATAGATTTTTTCTATGAAGGAGCAAACATAATTTTGCCACCCATTCTTTCACTCTATCTGCTTACTAATAAACGTCAACAGTATTTTAGGTAATTTCAAAATAAATATCATTCTATCCATGGCATTAACTTATTTTATTGGCTGAATTAAATTCAAAACAACAAAAAATGAAGAACAAATATTTTAATTTAATTTAAAAATAAAATTTCTTCATAAAAGTGCCTCCTTTGTTCTTTCTAGTTCCGTAGTTCTGGCACTACTTAGATCAGAAGGTACCCTTAAATTATTTAAACTATAACTGTGAACAATTTATTGAAAATCATTGTTCACAGTTATAAAGAAGTTTAAGAAGGATTATTATTATTTATTAAGGAGATCTGCATAAGAGAGTCCTTCGTGAACTCTGTTCTCTGCACCATTACGATGTGTTATCGACGTCTAATCAACTATTGCTGTATTCTGGGAGAAATTTTATGGAAAATTGGGAGAAAGTATGGATGTATTTTTTTTTTATGTCATTATTTGTTTAAATGTAAGCAACTCCTTTGATCTCCTGTGATAATTATGTATGAAAGCAGGAAATAAAAAGTTTAATTAAAAAATATGATAGAGATCCACATACTTGTTTTTTCTTTGCAGAAGGTAAGTCCATCGAATACTGTCCAATTTCTTTGAATGCTCTGATGGTCTATTTCTTTTTAAACTATTTCTTTTTAGACAAGTTGTTCCTCCTAAACAGAAACAATAATAAATTAAGATCTGTTGAGAAATATCGAATATCGCAATTTAAAAAAAAATATTCTACATAATATTCATTAATAATTTAGTGAAGAATTTTTTTTTGTTATTATTAAAGTTGTCAGAAATTATTAATAACATTTTCAAAGTACCCTGCCAAACTGAGAGAACTACAATAATATTGCATGGTTGCTCAACTGTGTTGTGTTGCTAAATCACACATCAAACTCAATCAATCAACAGATAATATTTTTTAAAAATAAGAGAGAGAGAGTTAGGTGGGACCACTATAACAGCCAATATGCGAAGAAAAGTTTACAGAATCGAACAAGCGAAAGCCAAAATCAATAGATGTGATGATGTAGAATTCCTAACGAGTCTAAAATAATTGTATCTGCCATGGTCTGCATTTGCTTTCTTCCAATACCAAGACTCTACAAGAAATGACTTGTAGCCAGAGGGAAGATTCCCCTAAATCGGATGCACAGCTCTTAAACTGAGAATTTTATCTCGCTGAATTCATCTCTATACTTTTCCCCTAACTATGGTATGCATTACTTATAGATATCCTCTTTCTGCCTTTTGCTTGAAGTCTTGATCTTGAACATTTGTCTCAAACCTGATCGTGAGATCCACTATTAGTGCCTTCTTTTACATTGCATTGAACGCAAGAATGTCAACGAACCTAGTCGAGCCTTCTCTATCCAGGCAATAAAACTCGAGGAAACATCTACAGTTCTTTATTTCAAACTATTCGATATACAAATTATTGTGCCAGTGGGTGACAAGGAGCATATTATTGAGATAATTGACCAGTACATGTGCTGGGGCTTCTAAGTCTTGTCCATATTTGTGGCAGAGGAGTACAACATCTCCGTTAGCTTGACTTCCGGTCCCTGGTACTCCGGGGAGAGAAGCATAACTGAAATTAAATTTCATAGCGTTCATCCATTCTGAGCCGGTGAGTACCTTTTTCACATGTATTAATTTATAGACCCATGGGTTTATTTAAAAATGGGACACACCAATTCCTTGCTACTTGCACTTGCTCCAGTCATCAAAGGACTTTTCGGGACAGGAAAGCATATTCGTTTGTAACATTGATCTTTTGTCCAGACTTATAGTTTCAGAACAAACATTCCTAAATGAAATAAATAATTGTAATATATCATTTTATTTATATTAGATATTAATTATTTAAATTGAAATAATATTTGAAAATAAGTTGTTGGGTTTTCATTAAAATTACAAAATAAAAATAAATAAATAAAATTTATTTATTGTTACTTTGTATTTTGACTGAAAACTCCTACAATTCCTCTTTAATTATTTACTGTGGTCAACCATCAATTTACTATCTTAAACAGTATTCATTTAAGATATAAAGTGATATGTTAATACTAAAGTTTTATACTTGTTACGTAATCATGTGTTACAAGTTATTTTTTAAATGTAAGAAAGGAAACATAATTAAAAATATTTTATTCAATATAAATAGATCAAATTAAAATTTTTAATAAGATTTACCTTGTATAAAGTGTTGGTTTCAAAACTGTATTCATCTATTTTCAGGAATGGTCCAACATTTTAATTGAAATGTAAACACTTCATAAATCTTAAGTATTTTCTGTTTAGATTTAATTAAGTCCACATAAGAGTTAAACATAGAGCAAATAAGAATATGATGGATTTGAACTAGATACTTTATAAGAGGAATATTTTTTTCTTAAGTGTGATCAATGGTTTAAATCAGTTCAGGAGGGAACTGTGGTTTCTGTGATATAAACTAATGCCTGGTATACAAATTAATATTTTAATAATGTATAATGGTATTAGTATGATATATATTTTTTTATTTAATGTATTAGTTAAAAGAAGTTAAAACTAATGATTTCATTTTTAATAAAGAGAATGATAAAACTTCATAATTTTATAAAACTGCTGCAGTAAAAAATTGAAATGTTTTTATAAAAATTAATAGAATATTGCTATCATAAATACTAATTATTATTTAATTTTTAAAAAGTTAAAAAGATTTATATAATGAAACATACTTACATCACAATATACAAATGAATCAAATTGATCTATATTTAAGTGAATATATTCTATTAAATAAATTAAATTCAATAAAATAGGAAAATAAATATAATTTAAAGAAGAAAAATTGTATTTAAATAATGAACATTGTTTAAATTTGAAACTATATTATTTCATTTGAAGATTGGTAATACTGTTCAAGAATGAGGGTTTTTTTAAGGATGGAAAGTGATTTCAAGTTTCAGATTTTAATAAGGTAAGCTCATATTTTTCCTTTATAAATCATGTTAATAACATTATAAGCAAATATATAACATTTGTGGTTTATACAATATATTACAACATATATATTTAAATAAATATTAGTTATTTAATAATAGATTAGCGTCTCCTTTACCGTTGAAATATGTACGTTTTTAAGTTATTTTACATTCATTATTTTTCTTTTAATGATGAAATATTTAAATTTATTTTATAGTTTTACTTTTCCAATAGCACTCTCGATTTTTGGAAAAAATAACGTACTTTATAAATTTCCGCTATTTCCAATAATTCATATTTCATTTCACCTTACGATTACCCAATATGTCGATTAAGTTAGGTGAGTAAAAAAAAAATTACGTTTTTATTATGAATTTTTTTTTTTTTAATGAAACTGTTTGCATATATAGTAATTTTATGAAATTTGACGGGAGCAATAATTATAAAGAAAAATCATCCGTGTTTTTTTTTGTCTGAATTATTCGCAATCGAAGTACAATTTATAAAATATATAAAGATGATTAGAATTTTAAAAAATCTATGTTAACCGACTTTTTCTATTTCGTTTTCCAATGAACTTATATTTTTCATGGTTTTTATAACTTTTCGAATAAAAAACTTTTTTTCATGAATTAATAGTAGTCAAGAAATGTTCCCTTCCTTCTAGCAATGAATGCGCTATGACGTCATCCTCGACCGTTTTACTTCAGTTAATATTAATTACTTTAAACGGCTATTTAAAAAACGATTCAACAGTAAGTTTTGGATTATAGATTTTAGATATAGTCCATTCTAGAAGTTCTTTTGTTATTACATTGCTTTTCGTGACTTTTTTGAATACTGTTTCTGGAACATATAAGAGATATTGCTCAGAAATACTTGTGGACGCAATTAACACTTTGACCGTTCAAATATTTTTAAAAAAATAGGTAATTTGTCAGATGAAGACTGTAGGGTTAAGCATGGTTCACAATCACTTCTTCATGAAACGCCGAAAACACTCATTCAGATAAACCTGGATGCATTGCAAGCATTCCATGAACAAGTGTGACCAAGTGATTGTGAACCCGTGTGGTTCTCATCTAAATAATCACCATTACATTATTAAAATATGAACTTCTCACTTTTTCTTGTCAGTAACTTTTGTGCACATTTCACTTGACATTAAGAAATACCATCCTTATTGGTTTTAAAAATCTCCTATAGCCTCTTACCTTTACATTATGTCAAATATCTCTTTTTATTCGCTTTCAATTCAGCAAGAACCTTGAAATTACTTTTGATCTGTAACTGTATAGTAGTCAGGGGTGCCCAGAATGGGGCTTCATGCCGCAAGTTGCGCCATCAAAATTTTTGAGGGGTGTATATTTTGATGGGTTTTTGAATTTTTGAGGGGGACAAATTGCGACAGGAATTATGAATTTTCGGATTAAGGGACAAGGGGAAAAACATGAAACATACCGCAGCAAGTGTAATTTTATATGATCTAAGATTTTTCTAATTCTATTATAGTTTGCTCTGTTTTTAAGAAAAGGTAAGCAATAAAATATTTTGGGAGGAGAGGAGTTGTAGGTTCTTGCTCTATCAACTTTGGGGGGATGGTCACCCCAAACCATATTTTCCAAAGTGAACAAATTTCCACAGTTAATGTAAATTCAATATATGTATTTGCAATGTATCTTAAGATTCTATGAATCCAGCTTCTATTCTTCTCCCTTATTTTACACATCTATTGGCTATGGTTACTTACCATATGGTATTTGGATTGAGATGAATAGAATTACAAACAGCTTCATTAGATTCATCTAATGATCTATAGTGTGTTAATATATCTTGTTCAGTTGGTTTTCAACAGGGTTTGATAAGGAAAAAAACCCTTTATTTTTCAATAGTTTCGGCATCACTGGAACTTTTATTGTCGATAGTTTATCAGTTCTTTTGGAACTGAAACTTGTTCTCTTGCGACTAATCTAATAAACTTATTACAGAACTTTTATTTAAAAGTAATGTCAATTTAGCTAAAAAGTCAATCTAAAAAATAATTTTTATTTTGTCTACTCAAACAAATGACACATAAGAATCATGCGCAGTTAATTTAAGACAAATTATAACTCTAATCTAAGACCAATAACTGATTATTTCTTATTTACCAGAACTGTTTTTAAGAACTTGAATAAATAGAAGTTAAACATTTACCCTAAAACTTTAACCCTAGAAAGTTAAGGGTAAAACTTTTACCCTAGAACTTTAATAAAAAGAAGTTCCTTCAGAGCTTTTTCCTAAAGTTTCATAGGAACTTTTTTAAGAAGTTCCAACCACTGGTTTTTAACCGCATTACTGCCTCAGTATTTCACTTTCTCAATCACTAACAACCCAAAAACCTCACTATATACTCAATTTGCTTACCACGCATACCTCTGTCAAATCTTTAATTAAAAAATGCCAACTTATTGATTCTCAAAACTCTTCTCATAGGCATATATCCTTAAAATATTTATTTCTCAACGTTCTAAATTTTTAATCTTCTGCAACCATATAAATAATATTTATTTATATATCTGAAAAATATATTGCTTATTTATTCATACAATACTACTCTCCCAGTAACTTTCTGTTCCTACAATTCTGTCAAACACGCTTCCTTCAAATCACTGAAGGGTGAGTGAGTGCCTTAAACAAAATTTCCATAATCAAAGTTTCAACCTAAAGGTATACAACAATTAAAAAAAATCAAAAAATGAATTTCAATTCTCTATTCATTTCATAATTGAAATAAAATTAGGCGAATTCTGATTATTCTATATTTTTCGTTTCTCTTAAAAAAAAAGAAAGAATGATATGAATCATAGGTGATAAATATTCAGGAGTCTTTTTTTTTTTTTAATTTTAATTTTTTATTTATGCCAACGTTTCAACCCAAACATATGGATCATCTTCAGGGCGTGGTACTTGTACTTGAACACCCTCAGTGCTCAAACCACGCCTTGAAGATGACCCACATGTTTGGGTTGAAACGTTGGCATTAATAACAAATTTAAATTTTTTTAAAAAAAAGACTGTGTCCTGAATATTTATCACCCATGATATGTAGAACAGTCGACTAACTTCCTTCAATGATATGAATTATAACTGACTGTTCGAAGGTTATCTAGAATGATAGGATTATAATTCATATTCATAAATAAATGAAGTAGTTTACTATAATGAAGTATAGTCAAGTTAATTCACTGAAAAATGAAAATAAACTGCTATATTAATAACGTGTATTTTTTTATATCAATTATAATATAAATTATGAAATTGCACTGACAGAAATGTGATATAAATGATTAAAAATATATTGTTTACACTTATAGTTGTATAAAACTATTTTTTAAAAGAGAATAATTTCAATATAGCACTATAATCATAATAAAATACCACAATAACAATAAAATACATTATCCAGACAATCCTTAATATGTAAGAAAGAGCTGATATGTTCTATAAAGGCTGATTTATATTAATCAAACTAAACCATGTAGTATAGTTATATATAGAGAAAGAAAGTATATGAGTATTACAACAGTGTGAATGCATGAACACCAACATTAATAACTAAGATAGTTTAGTATAAACCAGCCTTTAGAAAGTAGAGACAGTTTAAAAGTTAGTAAATATAATATAGCTCTTCATAATAATATCAATTAAAATTGTTTTCACTAAAATATGAAATTGGCACATATCTGTACTAATTATTAACATGTAACAAAAGTTGAAATATATTACGTAATAAATTATATAAATAGATAATACAAATTGGAAGATACCATTTAAAATAAAACAAGACAATATTTAATTCATATAAAATTACATTTTGTAAATATAAATAACATTAAAATCTTTAATTCAGACGTATACATAAACATTATTAAATATTAATGAAGTATCTTTGGTTAATGGAAGCATTTTTGAAAAATTTGATACTCGTTTTTCTTAGTTTTTGTAACAGTCTTTTTTTATTATACACAGTCTAGACACTGGTCGGGGCTGATGCATCTTAAATTAAGGTCGAGTAGGTAGCTTTCAAACGATGTCCTAATCAGATTTAATAATAAGATCCGACATAAGTAATACTGATATTGTGCGATGTGTTGACAGGAAGACTTTTTCCTCTCCAATACCACCAATTGAACCACACTTGAAAAAAAAAAAAAAAAAAAAATTAGGCTTTTAATAATAATACAAATATTTTATTGTAGAGCTTATCACAATTAACAAGGATAGAGAAAAGGATATATTGTAACTTTTTGAAAATTAGCTCTGTTATAGTTAAAAATTCTTACATATATGCTTTGGTCTGAGTAGAATCGAAACCCTGTGGCATGAACTCAAGCATTCGACGGACGGCTCCAATGATATAAGACGTGAACCACTCCCTTGTATTAAGAAAACAGTCGTTCCTTCAGTCCAAGGCTAGAAAAAAAAAATGTTTTCCGACATCAATTCAAAAATAAATAAAAACATAATAATGGGGAGTTATAAAGAGATAAGTAAAATTGTTTTTAAATTTAAAAAATGTGATGCGGTGCGCGCACCACACAACTTTCACTTATCAACCACCAGGGAGTGGGGTAGATCAGTGGTAGGGCCCTAAGCTTCCAATGGTCAAGGTACCAGGTTCGAATCCCGGTTTATGGCAGAAAAATTATTTATTCTGTTTCATTGGCCGTGAGTTGACCCTGGGATAGGGAGACTCTCCTGGGCACACCCAGCCTCTATAAAGTTGGTACCCTTAATTAACTAATTGATTAAGAGGGAAAATCTGGCAATTGAGTATGATCCTGGCTCGATCCCCACCCTGTACAACAGCTGGCCTTGAAACAGTACATTCCCTAAATAGTACTGAACCTAAGACCCATCATGGGTTGTAGTGGTACAGGTTTTTTAACCACAGAGTAGATAGGTATTTAAATAAATAGGGAAGTAAAAGTGAAAATGATGGTATAACTTTATTTAAAACAATTAATTACCATGTTTTTCCCACCAATCAAACTGTTCAATTTATACGTTTGCATCACTTTGCACTTCCTTTTATGAATATGTATGATATTAAACAATACTAATGATTGTGGGAAAAAAAAGATCTTTGGGAAAAATTCTGAGTTTTATCGGAAACATTTATGACGAAACTCATCGAAAAAATAACTTAATGTTAGTAGTAAATATTCGTGGATCGTCAATATTTTGAATGAAAACCTTTTAAAGAAATTATAAATAAGGATATATAAAAGTTAAACTAACAATATAAAAGCCCTGGACAGAGGGGGTATTGATTATCTCTAGAGAGAGAGGATCGGCAAAGGTTGGGCGCTCTCGGGTGTTTCCGTATTACAGCTTCCAACCCTTGTTTCTGTTCTTCTTATCAATTAATTTTGTTCAATCATTATATTTAACCATTTTTTATATTAGTTTATAATGTGAAATGGTTAATTATTTCAAATAAAAAAAAAGGTGATTTAGAGGAAGAAATTGAAAAAATTACACATTTAAACCCTGTTAGAAAACATCAATGAGAATAAGACCTACATTATTTTAAAAACTGATTAATTTTACACAGACACAATGAATATAATCAAAATTGTTAAAGCCGTTTTGCGAGAAAATTCTAAAATGTGGTACTTCCGATTAGTTGAATTTGATGAAAAAGTTGTTGTAACATCCCAGGCATGTACAAACCTTAAATACATAGTTTCAGTTGTGCACGCCTTTTCGGTTTTTGAGCTGGACTGTTCACACACATATACATACACACAGAGAACATTTTGCAGGACTTGGTTGTTTGGACTCAGGGGACCTCAAAATACGTATTTTCATAGAAAACTCAGATTAAAAAAATTTTATGATCGCAATACATATTAAAAATGAATCATGTCTTATTTTCATAAGCTAATGAGTGGTACTTATTGTAAAAGTCAGGAATTTTCCCTAGCATAAAAAGTAAATGAATCTATCTTTTGTGATAAAAATATTCGTATAGTTTTCTTTTACATGTTTTGTGGTATAAAATTTTTGTTTTAAATTGTAACTATTAATTTTATCAGTATAATAAAATAAAAAATACATATTATACATTTACCAATTCATATGGAGAAGCATTAGCTTCATCAATGAGAAGCCACTTTTCTATAGTCGCTCCTGAAACGTAAAAAGGAACTTGTTTCGGTGTTCCAAATGTCTGCCTGACTTCTCTCACAGGTTCCAATCTATTAAGCTTCCTAAATAAACAATAATTAAAAATGAAATTAATGGTTGGGTCAAACAACTTTAAATTAAAATAAGTTCCTAACCTAAGCCCAATGATGGCTTCAGAAGTGTGTCTAAACTGGATGAAACGATACCAGCTGAGCACTAAGTTTAAGAAGCTTATATACATGATTTTTGATGTGTTCATCATTCAAATAGCAAATTCTTAGTTATTTCTAATATAATGAAGTCATATACAAAAAAAAAAGTTGGTTAACACTGTACTTACCAAGTTACATGTAAATTCTTCTGCGAAGATGGGTTGGTCGAAAGGGGGCTTTTTAGGAATAAATTTTCTGGGGTCGAGTGCTCAGGAAGAATGTTCTCAGTTTTTCCTGCATCTTTGTCAAAGACTTCTTTATGGCAGGAATACATATCGACTAAATCTTCAAAGTCGACTTCCTTCAAATTTTCATCCTGAAAACAGAGTTATAGCTTGAGAGAAAAATGAATGAACCTTATCATGTGACAACAAATGAAAAAAAATCAATAGAACAGTAGTCCAGTGCTAATATTGAAGTCTGGGGTAGAACTAGACGGGACGAGCTTAATTCAGCTGCAGCCAGAATAAAAGTTTTTTAGATTGAGGGGAATGATGGTTGAATGTAGTGAATAACTGAAGAGAAGGACGGTTGGAGTGATCGGTCAAAATAAACAATTATATTTATTTTTTATAAAATAGAGTTTCTTAATTTTATGTACATCGAAATAAAAAAAATCACCAGATAAGAGTACTTGTGTCATTGCCTAAATTAAAGACAAAACAACAAAAAAGTATAAAGAAATATTTTTTACTAAACAAAAAAAAAAAATCCTTGAAATTTGCGATAATGTAAATTTGGCTACCTGGGTCAATTAACCCCTTCGCCCCTCCCTAATTTTGACCCTGGTGGAAGACGCTAATCCTTATCTTGGAAAATGGATTGCTCCTTATACTTTTTCATTATTCTAAATGTTATACTTTTAAATTATTCATTATTCACAATGAGCTAGAATGCAGATCAAGACTAGTTTATCTTTTTTTCTTTACTACCTACCTTTATTTCATGATTCACAAAACAAAAACACAACTATTGTTTTTATTATTAACATTTTATACCATTTTCACCTAGCAAATTTGGTGTATTATACAACAGCAATGAGTTTGCTTGATCAGCTTCAATTTTGTTGTTATTGTAGGACTAGATCCCTTGGCCATTTTCTTTATAGTTAGCACCAATCAGGTAATAGAAAGGACTAATGGATTGAAGTGATTTAGGATTTTACTGTTGGGTTGTTGAAGTCGTTATGTATAGTGTTATTTGAAATGTACCAAGGTGCGTTGACAATTTTTTGTATAATTTTGGATTGTGTTGTTTGTATTTGCTTTATGTGTGTTTGTTTTGCCGAATCCTAAAGTTCTGCTCCGTATGTCCAAATTGGTCTCAGTAAGTTGTTGCAGATTAGTAGCTTGTTTCGTAAGTTAAGTGAGGATCTGTAGTTCAGAAGATGTGAAAGTTGGTAATATCATCTAATCAGTTCTTGTATTTTTAATTTAATATGTATGTTTCAGATATGTCTTTTGTCTAAGTAGAGCCCGAGGTACCGTACATAGTTTTTTAAAGGCACTGGGTTATTGTCAATTGTTATGGGTGGACATGAGGCTTTCCTAGGAGGGAAAGTAATTGTTATTTTAACTTTAAGATAACAAAATTAAACTAAAGGAGAAACTTACCCTGAGTACAATAGGAATACCAGAATGATAATCTTCATTACTTAAATTGGCCACAGTCAAATTCAAAATACTTTTAACATTCTCACACGGCCAACAATCTATATCAGAAACTTGGAAATACGGATTCCCAATTAAACATGCTTCGTCATAGAGCTCTATAAACAACAAGATAATAATAATTATAAGAATGATTAGTGGTAAATTAAAAAATAAATAATTCACATAATTACGTGTTAGAGAAGGAAAAGTTTTGATTACTGGTAGCATTATTTTTCGAAGTAGCTTCATCCCTGGATAAACGAGAGCTTGGAAATTCCTTTCGATGTATCCATGAATGATCTTTCTAGGATTAGAAAAAAAACACAGTACTGCGATTAAAGCGATGACAATTGACAGAATGATGATAAACTTCTTTCTTCCATAATACTTTTGAGATTTTTTGATACTTGTCTCATTTTCGAGAAACTTGAAGGATTCATCTATAATTCTATCTATGTCTGTATCGGTTAGGTTCAAATCTTTTCCTATACTTCTTAATTTTTTTGTCTCTTCCATGTAGTAATCATACATTGGCTAAATTTGATGTAGTGACAGCAGGAAGACAGGATTTGAAATATGAACAATTTAACACTTTTGCCTTAAGCTAAGCAGATTAACACAACATTTAATACTGTTATAACCAATTAAGATATAAACTACTAAAACAAACTAAATTATCCTAAATACCTAACCTAGCAGAACGTAGCTCCACCTACATCAACCTATTCCTACTTAACCTTACCCTCAGCATTCTATTAACTTTCTCTTTGTGACCAACATAAAGAAAATAACCCTTAATAAAATTTACAATTAGGTTTTTATTAATTTCTTATTAGTTTATAACGTTCAATCATAAATAAAGCGTTTAATTTAAAAGAAAATTACAACTAATATCGATAGATTAGGAAAAATTAATTGAAATCCGGTAAATTCACGGCATAAGTTCAGAGAAAGTATTGGACATCTACTTCAAAAGCCGCGTTTAATTTTTTAAATAACACCTAATCACAGATTTCTAAACAATACTCTGAACTCCAAATTTGCTAATGAAAATTGTTCTCCTGAATTTTTATTTCTATGAACATTTTATGATTTTGATATGTATTCCTGTTTTATTAAACTTATCCCCAGAATTCTCACAGTAAATATATATATATATATATATATATATATATATATATATATATATATATATATATATATATATATATATATATATATATATATATATATATAATGTTTCTAGTAATTTCTAAGAGTTACATCAATCATGAACGGTCGTACTGTTTATGGTTGAATTAATTATTATCCTTGTTGATAAAAAGTTTTTCTTCGAAGTATATGACAAATATATTTTTTCTTATTAAATTTAAATTTTAATGTTATTATTAAATGACTTATTCTCTTAGGAAAGCCTCATGTCCACCCGTGATGATTGACCATATCCCAGTGCCTTAAAAAAACTATGTACGGTACCTCGGACTCTGCTTAGACAAAATGCTTACCTGGAACATACATACTAAATTAAAAAGACAAGAACTATATAAGAACTACACGATATAACCAACTCTCACATCTTCTGGACTACAGATCCTCACTTAACTTACGAAACTAGCTACTAATCTACAACACCAAACTGAGACCAATTTGAACATACGGAGCAGAACTTCGGAGTTCGGTATAATAAACACACATAAACCAAATACAAACAACACAATAAATTTTTTTTACGAAAATGGTCAACTCACCTTGGTACATTTAAAATAACACTATAGATAAGGACTAGTGTTGCCCAAATACGAGACCGAGACTAGTATTTTGTGTTTCTTGTGATGTGTAAGGCTTCAAGTAATTTTCTATTGTTGTATTTTGGTATTGTGCATAATATCTGTGGTTTATTGAAGTTGAATTTGTATTGTAATTTTATGCTGTGATGTGCTAAAGCTGTTATGTTTATGTTTTTTGTATTTTTACAGTTAGTAATGTTTTGTAAAATTTTGGCCTTAAGTGTTTGGATGTTTCTCCAACGTATATTTTGGGGCAGTTTTGACAATTTAATTTGTAAATTACATTTTTCTTGTTTATTAAGTTTATTTTATCTTTTGTATTGGTGATGTGCCCGCTCAGTTTTTTATTATTATATTGCCCAAGTTTGATTCACCATAGCAGATAACCAATAATTGGTCTACAGGCATGATGATGCTCTAGATATTATATACTATAATTTGTTATGACATGAATTTAGAACATGATAATGGAGCACATTAGGCTTAAGGTAATAACTAATTTAATGTAACATCTCAATTCTAACATGTATTGTAACATGCATTATTTTTATTTAACTCATTTTTAGCCAGGAATCGATAAAGAAACATGGGATTGTATTTCTGAAGATGTGAGTAAATTTCCCGAAACGTAAACATGTAAACTTGTAAATACAATAAATACATCAATTGTTGTTTAATTGGAAGTTATTATTGCCAAAAACAGAGAAAAGATAAATGTTTTGGGGCCTAACTGGCGAAGTATATGGTAAAATGTCCTATGGTAAAATGTATATAGAATAATTTGAAAGGTAATCTAATTACCTTTAAAATTATTCTATATATATATATAAAATCATCGGAATCGAAGCAGTTTGAGTAATGACACAGCGTATTCTTGTTTCTACAATGTTTTATTTTATTTTTTGTTTTATTATCCGCTACAATGTTAGGAAAGTATTGCGATCGGGACAAATTTCCGATGGTCGGTTTTCAACGGATCTTTACGTTTCAAAGTTTTAGAGAAGTTGCAGTGAATTTTATAAGCTGATTTTAATGATGGTTCAAGGGTCCTTTAAATTGCTTTATTCCATAAAATAAATAGTACTCTTATAATTTCTTTGACCGGTTTTCTGGAAAATTACTCTAAATTAATTTTTTTTTTTTTTAAGCACATATTTAAAGTTGTATAAGTGTGCCTAAAATCCGTAGGAAAGTCGTGTGAGTGGACACACCCGATTTTTACTTTTCATTGAAGAGAAACTGAGTCTAAATATAGTCCGTGATACAGACACCTTTATATCAAATTATTAACATCCGTCCGAAACTTCGTGAATAGCTTCATCTCATCGTAACCTACAACTATTTTATTTAGGAAAACTCTTGGAATCGGGACTTTTTCAATCTGGAGGGGAGCAACCTTTGCCTATTTAATTAGCTACTAAAACTCGTAAATATCCATTTGCTTTCCACTTGGATCGTAATATAATTTGATCACAAAATCGTGGAAAAAGGTGGCCACAAAAATATTGGGCCGTTTGGCCAATATAACCTAGTTATTTTGACGATTTGGGGTGTAGGTCACGCTGAGCGGATCAATATTTTTGAAGGAAACCTTTTTTTTTGTCGAGTTTGTGCTCAAATAATCTTACGATTTAAGTGGAAAGCTAATTGGTATTTACGAGTTTTTAGTACCCAAATTAAATAGACAATTTTTGCCGATCTCCAGATTGAAAACGCTCCAATTCATTAGCAATTTTGAGAATTTGTATGAATGAAATAGTTGTAGGTTATGATTAGAAGAAACTATTTACGAAGTTTCAGGCGGATGTTAATAATTTGATGAAAAGAGGTCTGTACCACACTGGCCGGAAGTTGAAGTTGTGTGATATACTCACCATAGCAGATTTTTTTTATACAATTCATTTATAACCCTTTTCCTCACATTAGGTCTGACGGTTTAGATTTGGTTTGGACAGAGTTCAATGAGATTTTAAATTGTTGGCATCGAAACTGCAAACTATTAAGCCATTATTATTATTGTTATATGCAAATTAAGAATTCTAAACACATCTACGTAATTGTAAGCGAGGAGTCCCATTGTGCTATATAGAGACGGCGGATTTAGCTCGGCCTATGAGTAACCGAGAACGGACAGGAATATTGCATTAGCTCGGAGGTAGGCTCCATGAAAAATTCACGGGACAACCGGATCGATTCAGTTTCGCCGGATGTCTTCGCTACTGTTTCCAATTTTTAAAATTATTAACATTTCTAGCAAATCGGAACTGAGTTCTCGGCGGATGGTGTGAATTAAATGAGAGAAACTTTATTTAATTAAAAAGTTTATCCTTTGGATGGCAAAATACCCCAGCTCGAGTGAGCCAGACAGAACATATACTGTATTATTTAGTCGATTCTAATAACACTTAGAATCGACTAAATAATACTTCGTATAATTTTCAATACATTTAAATTAATTTTTACTCTGATTTTATAAAAATAAAAGTCTTATTTGTGATTGAGTTTATTTCTATTGAAGATCAACCAGCTCGTCGTGGTCTTGATTTCCTCCTTAAATATCAAAGTTGTGTGAACTTCACGCATATTTTTATATTCCAGCTTAATTAGCTTTGTTCTTACTGAAGAAAATTATTAGTCTCGTTAACGCCATATAAACAAAAAGTTGAATTTTTACAATGGATTTTTTGTTGCATCCATTTTACCAGTGAAAACATGCGTATTAAATACGAGATATATATCACTACTGTTTCTGCTTAAAGGTGACTTCTTTTAGTCTTCAACTGATATAATCAGTCTGCTACTATGGAAAATAGCAGAGGGGAATAAAGTATGAAATTATAGTAGCATGCTCTCCTGTAAAACACTCAATTTTTACATACGACTTTTTGCAATAACAGTAGCCATATGCATATTCAGAATGCACTGCATTTTTTTTTTTAAATTACGAATCATCGAATATACAATCTGCTAATGCGGAACTCTTTCGCATTTTAGTATTTGCTAATAAACAAAACTCGTGGATATGTTAAGGGATTACTGAATTTCCGAAAACTGCTTCTTCCAGATATTTTATTCTCATATGAAAAATTTTAGACCTTGTAATATAGATATTTTTTAGTCTATGAAAACGGCGAGGAAGCTGTACTGACCTTACTTGGCAGACATTTTTACTTTTACTTAGCTATATATGTAATCATAGCTATATAATATATAGTAGCTATATAATGTAGCTATATAATATATAGTAAGGGAAAGTATAGCAATCATGAAAAAATTCTGAGTTTTGGTACCTCTCAGAGTCCAAATAACGAAGTCCCGCAAAATGGTCTGTGTGTCTGTTTTTGTTAGCAGCAACAATGAAAAGTCGTACGTAACTGATATTAAGTATTTAAGATAGGTATATGCCTTAGATGTGACAGCAACTTTTTCGTTAAAATCGGCTAACCGGAAGTGCCACTTTATATCAACGCTGAAAAACATTTTTGTAATTTTCTCAAAAACAGCTCAAACGATTTTGATTAAACTCGGTGTATCATAGTATAATTAAGTGGTCTTTAATATCAATCAGGTCTTATCCCGATTGATATCACTTTACAGGGTTTAAATGCCCAATATTCGTATACGTCTTCCTCTAAAGTACCTTTAATATGGTTTGTTTTAAATAATTTATCATCTCACATTATTTAGAGTTACGAAAAAAAAAAATAGTCCATCAAAAGGTTTGTAGAAGACAATAGATAATTCAATCTACATGTTTGCTGTTTTTACAAAAGTGTGCTGAATACTCCTGAAATCACCTGATACTTGGTAAGAACCGTTTTGCCGATCACTCGTTACTGAAACAACCCATTTACCAGCTATGGTATCGCGAGAATGGAGACGAATGACTCACCAGAATCACCGCTAATAGTTTTCAATCACTTTCATTCGCTCAGTTTGATAGCAGCGAAT